TTCTTTTTTTTTTTTTTAATTTTATTTATTTGTGTGTGCTGGGGGATTAAACCGCGGTCCCTCTGCTTTGCTAAGCTTGTTCTAAGTAGGTGCTTTAGACCACTGAGCCATCTCACCAGCCCCATAAATGTATTCTTTAATAACTACTCATCAAAGCTTTATTTTTCTGCATGCACCTATAAGGCTTTCTGAGTCAGGACATTCACATATTGAAGAACCTTGGCCCTCACTTCCACTAGATGATTGAATTGGGTATCGCAGGGGAAGGGTGAGGTTTAGCTAATTGCAGTGACCCTGATGTGAAATGCTTGCTGATGTGAATCTTCATAATAGATCAGGACTGCAGCAGTCTATGCAGTAATGTCTCATTTCATTTACAACAGATAATCCGTGTCCAGTCCCCTGATGGGGTAAAGCGGATCACAGCAACAAAGAGAGAAACAGCTGCAACATTTTTGAAAAAGGTACCTGTAGTGTGGATGTTTTAACTTTTTGGGGTCTCAGTCACCCTACCTGTTCCCATCTGTGCTTTTCCTCATCCTCATGATCCCAAGTTGTCTCTTGCATGGCTTTTCTTTCTGTGGTTGGGTTGGATTATTCTTAGGTCAGGTGTTGGTCATGGCTAATTACAGTTTAAAATTATAATACCAGGTGCCCAAGGGTAGGTGTCAAATTATTTTGCTGGAATACCATTTTTTCTTTTCTTTTTTTGGTGTGTTTTTATGAGACAGTCTCTGTGCAACTCAGGCTGGCCTTGAGCTCACTTTGTAGCCCTGGCTGGTCTCAAACTTGCAATGATCTTCCTGCCTCAGCCTTCTGAGTACTGGGATTATAGGAGTGCTGGGATTATAGGAGTGCTGGGATTACAGGTGTGCATCACCATGATGGCCTGAAGTAATATTTCTGAGTGAAAACTTGGAGAGTTTTTCTTTTTGAAAAAAGGTTTTACTATACATTTCAGTCTGGCCTTGAACTTTCTTATCTCTTAGTAGTCCAGGTTGTTTTCCAACTGGCAGCAGTCTACCTGCCTCATCTTCTTAAGGGCTGGGATTATAGGTGTGTACTACCATACTCTTGGAGAGAATTTAGCTGGGTATGTTGACACACATCTGTAATCATAACACTCTGAAAGGGTGAGGGAGGTATTGAAAGTTCAAGCCTGGCCTGGACAATTTAACAACTTATCAGGACCCCCTGTCATAAAGGGGAAAAAAAAAATAGAGCTGTAGATGTAGCTGTAGAAGTGTAAAGAGTCTGAGTTCAATCATTGGTACTGTACCAGCAAAAAAAAAAAAAAAATTGAAAACTTTTGGCTGTCCCTCGAAAGGGAATTGCTACAAACATGTATAGCATGAACCCACTCTATATTAGAGAAACTGAAGAGCAGGGGCCAGACCCTATGTACGGTAAATCTGGGCAAGAGGCAAGGAAGGAGGTTGGCTTTTGTTTTATATTTCATTCGACAGGTCAGCAAACTGCCCATAGGTTAGCAAACTGTGTGTGTAAGTAAAGATTTATTGGAACCAAACTTTTTGCATTGTCTGTGTCTGCTTTTGAGCCACAAAGGCGTGGAGTTGATAGTTATGTGGAAATGCTGTGGCCTGCAAAGCCAGAAATACTTACTGTCCGGTTTACCACCAAAAATGGTTGCCATTTCCTATTTAACGCTATCTAATAATAACAAAGGTATTACTATCTTTGTAGTGATAAAAATGTATTGCATTTATTTCAT